GTTTAGGGCTGAGGGTTTCGGGTTTAAGGGCTCAGAATGTGCGATTTCCAACATCGCAACTCGCACAAGGCAGGCAAGGATCCACACAAGTCTGAGGAAAACATGATCGCCAGTGGCGATTTATGAGTTTAGGGCTTTCAGGGTATCCTCTCTCCGTAGCACTTTGGCCTTAAGTCTCTCGCTCGCTGCTGTCCGCTGCCTGAGGCTTCAGCAGCCTTAAGTTTCGACTCTCACACTCGTACAACCTGAAGTTCAGGGCTGAAGGCTTGGAAGGCTTGGACATTCCCAGTAAGGGTTTAGGGTTCAGGATTTAGGATTTCGGGTTTAGGGTTTAGGTTCTTTTTGTTTTTTCCCAGTGCAATGAAAAGACACTCCATCCAACCTTGCTGGCGAAGTACTTCACCTTGATAGGCGCTCGCGCATGCAACTGTCGACTAGGTGGATGTGCAGTTGCGAAAAGGCGTGAGCAAGCACACAGCATGGACCGAATCCTTGAGCCTCAACTCTAAACTCAAGCCAGTCCAAGCCGGTAGACCCCGACCAAAGCCAGAAAAATGAAGAACTGGGCAACTTTTTTGCCAGGAGTTTGGAAAGTGTCATGCTCTGGCCCTGTTGGCATCATAGTGAGGTGCGGTCAATCCTGTACGAAGCATTCTCCCGCTAGCACCTACAAAACGTCCTTGGCAAGGGTGCTTTACGCAAGTTGTCAGCTTGCTCAGTCTCTCATGACGACGTCCTCTTCGACCGAGACAAGCTTCATGATCTCTTCCTTCAGCACTGGTGTGGTGCCCTTCGGGAAGGCCTTGTGCTGAGCCCGGAACTTGCGCTCATTGGGCTTCTCGTAGTTTCCTGAGTTCTTGTTAAGGAGAATAAAATAAGTTATCAAAATCAGGCAACCCGTCTACTTACCATGGATCCCTACTAGGGTAACTTAAAGGCAAGTTCCTTAACTACTATGGCAACTTAAAGCAAGTTCCTTAACTACTGTGGTAACCTAAAGCAAGTTCCTAAACAAAAACCTAGTTTCTCAGGATGTTGCCACCACCGTCTTTGGTGATCACGCAGACATCCACGTTGCCACCAGACCCCAGGTCGTTGAAGATGCCTGCGCCCCAAGCTTTAACTTTGGACTTCAAGGTTTAGGGTTTACGGTGTAGGGCAGGGTTTAGGATATAGGATTTACGCTCTCACGACTCCGACGTGCCAGGCGAGGATCAAAAGATTTAGGGTTTCAAGGTTCAGGGTTTCAAGGTATAGAGTTTAGGGTATAGCGTTTAGGGTATAGGGTTTACGCTCTCGCAACTCGGACTCCGCCAGAAGGGTTTAGGGTTTGGGGCTTGGATACTGCAGAGGCCTAAAATAATTACCAATACTTTTTTGGTGGCTATAGTATAGTGGGCCGCAAAACTCTATTCTAATTATCAAGGCACCTATATTGTAGAGCTTCGGGCTCAGGGTTTGGGGTCTAGGAACCTCCTGAAGCCCTTGCAGGGCCCTTAGCCCAGAGCGGGCTTGGCTCTGGTCAGGTCCTGGGGATCAATCGAACCCTCGCTAAACCTTAAACCCTAAACCCCAAAAACAGAACCCTTATAGTACCCTTCTAGAACCCTTATGGTACCCTTACGGTACCCATTACTTATAGAACCCTTATGGTACCCTTCTGGAACCCTTATGGTACCCTTATAATACCCTTATGGTACCCTTGCGGTACCCTTATAGAACCCTTATGGTACCCTGATGGAACCCTTACGGTACCCTTCTGGTACCCCATTGGCACCCTTATGGTACCCTTTAATAGAAGCAGCCTTACAGGAACCTTAAACCCTGCCTGCACGAATTGCTTTGGCCACCAGCTTCTTGCCTTCCTCGATGCCTTGCGTCCCGAGGGAAGGAAACAAAACTAATACCCTCTGGTCTAGGGTTTAGCGCTTAGCGCTTAGGGTTCAACGTTTGAGGTTTAGTGGCTTTACTGAGTTCCAAGACGCACAAAACCTTGTGCAACCATTAAATTTACGAAAGGACTCAAACAAAGCCTGAAAACCACTCTCAAAGCCTTAAAGAACCCTATTGGCATTGCATAGAAGCCTTGTGAAAAAGCCTTGAACCCAGAAAGCTGACCTCACAGCTGACACCAAGCCCACTACTCAAGCAAGATGCTCATGTTCTCGTTGTACTCGGCTTCCATGATGGCCATAGCAGCCAACGAGCCGCTACCCATGGTAGTGAAGGGAAGCTTGTCGGTGGAGCCGTGGGGGTAGATCTGGTACCTGGCTGGAGTTAAGCTTTTTGTTGATGCACACTCGAATGTTTCGGGTTTAGGGGTCAAGCGTGTGGGGGTTGGCTTCTCTAAGTTTTAGCGTTAGGAGTTTTTGTTCCCTCTCGCACTGCAGAGAAATATGCTCACAGGCGAGGTTCGTAACAGGCGATAATGCAATGTAGTCAATTAAGGATCTAAGTTTCAAGTTTCGTCGTGTCGTTATAAGAAATCCTGACGACACACATCATCAAAAAGCAAGAATGGAGTTTAGGGTTCAGGGTTGAGGGTAATTGGGATATTGTTGAGGTTCTGGTCACATGGGCTCATGCTTGCTCTAGGTTAGTGCGCATTCTTCGTTGACCACGAAATTAAGGTTGCTCCAGAACAGCCAAGGCGCAGGTGTGGGCCGGTCACATCAAATCCTCCGAGGACTAAGGCACAACCGATGTAGCCCTGGTACTTGAAGAGCATGGAACTCAACCGCTTCACAACCGTACACACTCGAGGCTGGGTGCCCGTGGCCATGCGAAGTAGCTCGATCTGCGACTCCATCATTTCGGTAGTGTGCATGAGGTCTGCGGCAGTGCCGGCGCCTGCGCAGAAGATGTTCTTCGCGATGTAGTGGAGCTTCTCGCAGTTCTTGTCTGCTACCATGGGGCCATTCGTGGCACGGGTATCGGCGGCTAGGATCACGGCATCCTTGACGACGATGCCACAGATCGTGGTGCCGGACTTCATGGCTGTTGGCGGTTTGATTCCTGCCTGAGCTGCCAAGTACGCATTTCTCTTGCAGTTCTCGAAGCTGAAACCACCGCGGTGGGACTGAAGCACGTCGACGTAGTCCTGGGGCTCCTGCACCTGCACCATGATTTTGAAGCAGGCAACTATGTGTTCGATCCTCTTCCTCAACTAACAATGCTTGAGCCTGCAGTCCAAGTCGGCATAGTCGCACCGCCATACGAGCCCCGACAGACTATGCAAGGTCTTACGCCGCATACCCAAAAGCGAAAGTAGCATCGGCTGCTTCTACTTGCCCTAAAACGAACACAGCTAGCCACATTTCCCCATCAACACCTCTCTCATTGCCCGAATTCAGTGTGGTCAGTAGCTTAGGGTGTACGGAGGGTGGGGGGTCTGAGATTAGGTTTACAGCTTCAGTGCTTGGGGCTTTGCGACATTTTCCCGTGGTTGTGTGCATGTAGGATTCGGTCAGAGAAGAAGTCAAAAAAAAAGCAACTGACTGCTGACACGTCGCCGTCAGCTTCTTCCGATAAGGCGCTGCCTGCACATCCTGCACTCTTCGCTGCAAGGGAAAAAACCACTACCCGTCACTACCCTTTCTCTGCAGGTACCCCACAATTTCCCTTAAGAACCTAATCTGACAATAACTCCCCTTGGAAAAAGCCATCACGAAGGTAGAGGGGGACCGCGAGTTGTGTTTGGGTTTGGATCTGTTAGGTCAGGGCCCCGAGGAAAAAGGGTCATGTGAAGACAGAACCGCCTCGTTGTCTTTGCTTCTTGCAAGTCTTTTCCTCCCTGTACAGTTAGAATACCAGAACTGTGCAGCCGAGCCAGCCGGGGACCCAATTGTATAAGAGAGAGGCATGAAGGAACACTAACCAGCAATCACGACCAGAAACTCCTGCAACACACCAAAACACCCAAAAACCAGTAATCAGTAAAGAACTGAAGATGAGAACCCCTCTTGAGGTTCACGGGTTACAAGCATCCGGGCACCATCATCATCATCATCACCATCATCGTCCATGTTGTTGTTATCATTGTTATCATTTGGACCATAAGTATCATTATCGTGTGCTGATACTGCTGCTGCGGCTGCTGCTGCTGCTGCTGCTGCGGTTGTTGTTGATGATGATACGCAAGATTTACTTGCGTCTACCGCTTATCTTTAATTTGCTCGTGTTACTGTTGCTTCTATCTCTTTTCCCAAAACCACGATTGTTGTTGTTACCCGCAATGACAGTAATATCATTCTGTCTAGCAGTGGCATTGGCAGTAGCATTAGCATCAGAATGAGTATTAGTAGTGTTCGTACTAACACTAATAGTGGTATTCGTACGAACAATACGATACATACTGTATTAGTATTAGCATTAGCTGAAGTATTGTGATCTAATACCAGTATCAGTATTAGAATTAACATTTTAATTAGTTCTAGCATTTAGGATCCTTATCAGTATTAGCAGTAGTACTAATACTCGTATTAGTAGTAGCATTAATATTAAAATCAGTAGTACTTGTATTAATATGCATGTGGGCATGAGACATATCATGATCATGACTACGGTCATTTCATCACTATTATGGTTGACGTTGTTATTGGTCTTGTTACTCTCTTAATTATTACTGCGATTAGGGGTATTCTTATCATTACATGAATTCTTATTGTCAAAAACAGTCTTATGACTTGAACATTACTACTGCTAGTACTGTTTTTTGGAATAGTAGGTTTAGCAATAGTAGCAGCAGCAGGCGTAGTGGTAGCAGTAGCAGTAGCAATAACAGTAGCAGTAGCAGTAGTACTAGTAGTAGTAGTAGTAGTAGTAGTAGTCGTGGTAGTAGTAGTAGTAGTAGTAGCAGTAGTAGTAGTAGTAGTAGCACAGTGTGCCGGGAGACTGAAACCACAAAAAGATGCAAGATTGCCGGTCATGTTGCATGGTGCCTTTGTCCAGGGTGGGGGCCCCCTGTTTGGTCATCTTCGTAATCTTGGTCCACTTGGGGGGAGAGCAAGATGACCAAGGCCAAGGCGCCCTTGCTCATCTTGGTCGCAAGTGGTGCAAGTGGGACAAGATGACTTTTCAAGATTACCAAGATGACCAGACAAATTAGCGGTTCAATTTCCCGGCAACATGTAGTAGTAGTACTAGTAGTAGTAGTAGTAGTAGTAGTAGTAGTAGCAGTAGTAGTAGCAGTAGTACCAGTTATAGTGATAGTGATAGTTGTAAAAATACTGCCACATGTCGTCGTCGTGGCGATAAGGGCCAGCGTCAGTTACTAATTAGGTATTTTTAACATGAACTATGATCTATGAATACATAACGCTCACTACACTATTCATTACTACTGCTTAGTTGCTAACTGTTACTGCTGCAACGGATTTGAGACATGGAGGCGTTTGGTTACACGGGGGTGGACAGAACAAAATGAAAACCCTGAACATGTGCAATCTCACTCAATCCATCGTTAATTGTGAACTACTATTTCTATAGTGTGCTTGTGACGACACCCATTGGTATTCTTGCTATCACCGTTACAAGATGTTGTTGATTGTTGTTGCAGTTCGTATAAAACCATGAGCATTCCTTCTGCAGGGTTTAGGTTGGAATTTCTTGCTGCTACGCAGCCACCGGTCCTTCGCTGGGAGCTTGCCGAACACAAGATTGTTCCAAGTCTCGGCCAACCTCAGTGAGGCGCGTGTTGGGTTGGGGGTTTAGCGTTAAGGGTTTAGCGTTAAGGGTTTAGCGTCGGGAGCTTTGGGATATGTGGCTGATGGGTGTAGGGACGCAGGAATAAAGGGCAGCGCAACAGAAGTGAGGTCGTGAAAGTGCAAACAGCACTGTTTAACCTCAAGCCACATTCCGAGCATACAGATCACGAACATGCGCCCAACTGCCTGACAGCCGAAAGCATAGGCTTGGTTTCGTTGCATAGTTTTTGCGTCCTGAATCACACGAAAAAGCAAATCCAAAGCAGAACTGCCGAGAGGGAAGGCAGCCTACTCCAAACCCCACTCCTCCACACACGGCAGTTCCTCTGAGCATTGCTGAGGAATGCGCAGCTCCTTGCTGCAGCGCTTGCTGTTCAGGAACGTCAGAGCCTCTCATGCAGGGGCTTTGGTCCAGGCCAACACAGTCAGAACAAAGCTTCGCGGCTATGTTACCGTACACCCCGGGCCTCATCTAGCAGGTGCATGCACTGGCCGCCTGCACACGCAAAGACTGCAAGTCTGGAGGCGCAGGGGGAAGTTATCCAGGACCGAATCATCCCTGAGGCCAGGAAGTGGTCGTTGCACCATGGCAACAGCAGCCAAGACAACAGGGACAACAGTCATCTAAGCGGCGGTGGCAATTATGGCACCAATATGAAGGAAAAGACTTGACATAGTAGTAAGGCTGCTACTGCCGTGGTGGTCGGGAAGCGATGACATGTTTAAAAAAACGCGGGGGATGTCAACAGCGCAAGTCAGAAGGATTTAGAATTACCCAAACTATGCCAGCAGCGATACTCACGATGCTCACAGCGATAAAGACAGGCTTGGGCAAAGACATGGCAATGATCACGACAGTGCTGCCGGGAGATATAATGAGTGTACAGTTTCCAACGAGCATGACATGCTATGACGAGGGATGACGAGGGCAACTGCCGACGAGGGCCTTGCACGATGTGGCTCCAGAAGTGGCCCACTTCTTCGGACCTTTTGAGGTGTAGGGGGTTTGGGTGTTTCGAGTGTTCTTTTTCTGGCGGGGACGGAGCGGGGTTCGACTCTGGCACTTTTGGGAATTCGTCCGAAGGATCCTCAACATTCTGTCAATAAGCTCGACCTGGATTTTGGGCGTTGTACGTAGGCTCCCGCATCGTGGGCCGATGGGCATTTCTGGGTTTAAGGGTTCAAGCTGGGAGCTGTTCTGACCAGAGGAAGAAAAGAACACGAGACCCAACACAGAGTGCTACTGTAGATGCTTCCAAGGATTAGGCAAGACCGACGAAAACGCTGCCCAGCGTACTCAGCCTACCGCAGTGTACATCACAGAAAACATGCCTAACTCTCCACATCTGTCTGTCGGATAGAAGAGTGTCTCCAGAGACAATTCAAATAAATTCCCATGTCGTTGGTCCATGTTGTCGTTTTCAGGACTGTACGTGTTAAAGCTCATGGCCTGTGAACCAAGGTCTTGGAACCGTAGAGAAAAAAAACGCCAAGTGACCGATTTCTGAGCCTCAAAAGGAATTCTACTATGTGCTGATTACTGTTCCAAGCAAAGCCGGCACATCATGATGACCCACGATCATCCCTTTTTGGGTACCCTAAATATTAGGTGCCGTAATATATTACGGACCCAAAAAAGGGACCCTAATTTTGACAACCCCCCTCATGGCTGAGCTACACCTAAACCCTGAACGCTAGATCCTCAACCCCTAAACCCTAAACAGGTAAAACCCCTAA